TCTACTGGACTGCTTATGGTGGAAGGCGAACATCCACCAAATAAACCAGATCTTTCGAGCCGACCCAGATATCTTCCTGACGACAGACGCTTCGCAGATGGGTTGGGGTTTTCAACTAGATAACGTCCACTGTGCGGAGACGTGGTCTCTACAGCAAAGCGAGTGGCATATCAACCGGAAGGAACTGTACACAGTAGTATTAGCGATCCAGAAGTTCAAGGATCGTCTCCAGGACAGAGCTGTATTACTGCAAGCGGACAACAAAACGACGGTGGCATACATAAAAAATCAGGGGGGAACTCGCTCCCAGACGCTGCTGAATGTGGTCAGGGAGCTTCTGATGTTGTTGAACCAACATAGGATTCAGCTTATTCCATTCTATCTCCCAGGAATTTGCAACACTTTGGCGCACAGACTTTCGAGAAATCTTCCCCTTCCGGATTGGCACCTGAGCCCCGAGATTCTCCAAAAAGTGTTCAAGAAGTGAGGCACCCCAGAGATCGACCTATTTGCAACGGCTCAATCCAGACTGGTTCCGGCATATGCCTCGATAGATGCAAACGACCGGGAAGCGTCATTCATCAATGCTTTCATCAGGACATGTGTCGTGAGCCTAGCCTGGGTCTTTCCTCCTCCTCCTCTAGTCCCAAAGGTCCTCTAACACCTGAACACCGCGAAGGGGATATTCCTAGTCGTAGCTCCGAGGTGGGAGAAGACCTTGTGGAGATAGAACCTGAAGAGCAGAAGCTTGAGTGCTCCATTTCAACTCTTGAACCTTGAGGAACACCTGTTAGATATGTCAACGGGGCTTCCTCCACAAGAGGTCAAAGATATTGTTTTAGAGCTTTGGAGGGTACGGGGTGGAACCACCTACTGGAAGGACTATCTGAAATGGAGGTGAAACTATTGGGCGCCGCTTGGAGAGACTCCTCGTGGAAAACGTATTCGTCAATTTGGAAACATTGGTTGTCTTAGTGTCGAGCGAGGAGCATGTTATCACATAACCCCGGTCCTCAACAATTGATCTCATATCTGAGCTTCTTCTTTTTCGAGAAGAAACTAGCATACAGTTCAATCTTATTACAGAAATCGGTGATTTGCTCTCTGACTAGTGCAGGAAGGGAGAACAGTTTGAGTTCAAACATGTTGGTGAAATCGCAGTTAATGGCGATTGGATTCGGGAGAGCTAAGAATGTGAAACCTTCTAGGACCATCTGGAACATGAAGACGGTGACTAAATGGATGTCAGTTCACCCTCCTGATAAAAAGAGTATTTTCCAAGTTTCGCGGTTCACCGCTTTACAGTTACTACTGGCATCTGGAAGGAGAATTCATTGTGTTACCAAATTCTTCTGGCCAGTATTTGGCTCAAAGACTGATAGAGTTAATCATCGCCAGTCAGGGTGGAGGATTACCAGTGCGGAGGATCTAATCTTCAACCTGGTGGCCTGGATTAAGTTGTTGATCTCTCTCTCAGCTGAGAGACGCAAGGCTCGATAGGATCTTTTGCAGTTATTCATCACAACGAGGGAAGCTGTAAAAGCCGCTTCGAGAGCGGTGATCGCTGGCTGGATTCAAACAGCCTTCACAGAGGTGGGAATCCAGTCGAGCCCTGATTCAGTTAGATCTGCTGTTGCATCAAATAATTACCAAAACGAAATGGCCATGGATGACTTAGTGGCTGGGGGTAACTGGAAGGGATCAGAGAATCTCTTTAGACATTACTGCAAGGACGTGGATAAACCCAAAGTTAAAATACCAAACAATTTGCTTATAAATAGCTTTTCACCAGTTTAAGATGGGTTTTTTCTTCAAACGTTTTTTTTACGAAAGTTTATCATATTACAAGTGTATTCATGTTTTGGAAATGAATAAAAATTATTCTCTCTAATTTTGAAGTCACAGTACACTTTCAACTGCCGGCAGATATCAAATCTCTCTCCGAAGGGTCAAACCAAAGGCGTAGACATAAAATAGGATCGTTTTCCACCTCGAAGAGAAGAAAACATATATTATAGGTCTTGCCGAGGCTTGACCAGAGTAAGGACTTGCCGTCATTCGGAGAAAGCACTGAGGAAGTTCGCGATCACGCGCTGTCCGACACTTGAGGCTTCACCTCAAAGTAGGTTTCAGGCACACACACATGCAAATGGATACGTAGGGTAATCTCCGAAGGTTCAAGCCTCGGCAAGACCTAAAATATACGTTTTCTTCCCTTCGGGGTGGGAAACGATCCTATTTTTTACGAAAAGGCATCGTCTGGACTAGTGTAGGGGAAATCCATTCGGTGAATGCGAGTCTATTTCCCTACTCCCACCATGCTCCGAGTTTTTCAAAAATTTACTGTCAGAGTACATTACATTTACGATTTCCCAAAAAGGCAAAACAATAGCTCATCTAAAAAAACAAACAGAAGATGAGCCTGGTAGGGAGTGGAAAAATTCTTCACGCTGATGAAAAATCAATCAATAGAAATACGACTATAACGAGTCGGCTGTAACATGAATATTTATATTATTCTACTATGAGGATACGCTCCCTGCTCGCTCTGCTCGCCAACCTCAATGAGCCTTATTTTGACCTCCATGACCTTTATTTGGACCCTTATTTCTAATCCTTGTGACTCTTCAGTTCTGATCCTCAATTTTGGAGTCTTACTCTCGAAAACCAAATTTGTATTACCACAAGTCGATTTGGATTTTTATAATATAGAGAGATATTATTATTATCTCATGGAATATGGTCGAAACCCTGATCCTTGACCTGTCAAATCTATTTGTCGCAATTTTATGGGAAAAAACGGAATATAATCATATGCACAAATACACATGAACACGGTGAAATATGAAATAATGCACGGAGAGAAATGTTCAGTAAAAATTATGGAACTCACAGTTTCCTCGCCGATTACGGAATCGACTCAGAAAATTTAAGTGACGGTATCGTAGTTTTTCTCAAGAGATACAGGTAAAAATTACGAAACACCCTGGAAAAATTCCGTGACAGTTAGTAGATAGGCAGTGGCGGTTCCCCCCCCCCCCCGCCAGTGGCGGTTCTGGATCAAATGTGGA